ATATATATATATATATATATATATATATATATTTAATTTTCAATAAAATCGATTAACAAACAAATTTCACTGCTACGCCAAAGACCTGATTTATGATTTTGTTAATTTTTATCACATTTTCTAAATACACCACTTTTCTTTAATGTGTTGTAATGGATGACAATTGGATCATTTTATCACATGTGTTATTCATAATACTATAATTCTGATGCACATAGATATGTGGCTACTTAAATATGTAGTTGAACAATGTTCGGGCTCTGGAAACTTGCCCATCGCTCACCGACTTTCAATTGTAATGCCACCAAGAAACTGAACGGAATACTTCGGAACACATACTTACACCTCATTCTACAGTAAAATATTTCTATTCCCCATGAAGCAGTTACGGTAGAATTTCATTAGTACACTTTCATTAATACATTTGCACTAAGTTAATAATCCAAACAATTAATGAGCTACAAATTATTGAGTTAATTATTATAACACTTAAAATGTTAAATCAGATTTAAATTTTACCAAACTCCATGGAAATCGTTGTCAAATCCAACAGTGCAGAGAAGGCCTACATAATATGGTATCCTTATATACCAGAGAGACAAATGTTTCAGAGAAAAGGAAGTTCATTTGATACACTTACGCTCTCTTGAAGAAGAACTGGATATGCAAGTTGCCCGGGTAGAGCAGCAGGTTCGAGAAGAAGCTCGAACAAAATATGAAGCGGAGAAACGAGCTCTTCAGGAACGGATGGAGACTGAGATCGCCGAACTTCAGACACATCTTCGACTGTTTCAAAAAGTAAGTTTAAGAAATTATATCTACTATCCTAAGTCAAGTCTTAAACGTGTTTGAAAATTGTATTAGTCGGATCCATTGCTTAGTTCCACTACGATATGTAGCGTTTCCTATATGCGAGCACTTCTTTCTAATGAAATTAATTTTTATTATACCTTAAGTAAATGCCGATATTATCAGTATATACCAAAGTAGATTCTGTTGATTGTCTACCTATCTTTTCGTCGGGGATGAAATGCCGGTCTGCATTTTCATTTCGTTACATTTCTTCTTATCTACTAGTCATACACTACAATCTACTAGTCATACACTACATTACACTACAAATTCATTAAGTTCACGAAGTCACGTACGTCTGTCGGAATATACGCTCATATAACTACCATGGTATTACGTTAACTACATTGCCTTTTTTGTTTGTGTGAATTTACGACGTGTTTAATCTCAAACAGTGAACAAAATGTAGCGTCTTATCTTTCCCGGCTCGAAGGTTCGATTGTTCGAAACTCGCCTCGGGCATGGATTGTCAGTTCTGACATGACGGAGTTCTACCAACCAATATGAATCACCCTCCAAACTTCTTCCTTCCATTCCTTGTTGAGCTGGTGGCAAAGTGTCTCGGGGCACTTGTGCCCAGCAGGTATCACATCACAGAACGCGTGCGAGAAGGGACTACAAAACGTCTCACGCAATACAATAACCTATGAGAATTGGCTGAGATAGGCCTAAGGACCACCTCCAGCAGCTGAGGTTAGGGAGAGTTCTAGCGCGGCAACGTAAAAGAAGTATGTGAAGGGTGGGTCGACTGAAAAAACAAAAAGTGAAAAAAACATAAAAGTATTATAGGGAAAGGGAGGATAGAATGACAAATTTAAGCTTCAAAATTGTTTTCTCGATTTAATAAGAGGTTTATAAATATGCAATTTATACGATGTATTCCAAAACTTTCCTTAATTACAAAAAAAACATATTTAGCTATTGATAGATGAAATATTCAATACAATGATGATATTTATGTCATTTTACTTCAACTAAGGGGGTAAGATGACGTAAGGAGACAACATAAATGAAAGTATAACACTTCAATGCAGAAAAATAACTCATAAGTAATGAAATACCTGCAAATGCGTACGAATTAAAATACTAAACGTAGGTTACACCAAAAATTGAAATAATAAGGTACACAATTCTTATACAAAAATCGCACATCCTGGGTGTTTGGCTTAGTGATAATCCCAGTCCGAACATTCAGCATGAACCCAAGATTTGCTCCTGCAGCACTGATCCCCGAAAATAATGACATTTTGACGGTCAACTTCCTATAAATTATCAATATTCACAACATTGTCGGTGTAAATATAAGAACGCTTCCCTAGAACTGACTCATCACTTCATTAGAAATTGAGTTCACCTATACCAGCTATACCAGCTACCTTATGAGAGTTTCGGCGCTGGTGTTTTAGCGATCCTTTCCGCAGTGTTTATTTTTTGCCACAGGATTGACACTTGATTTTACATCTCTTACTTCTAACAAACTCGTAGCTGCATTCAATGTCTCCTTATCATACTTTCCCGACATTGTCCCTGATGCACGTTCGTGTCATGATGTAGTAACATTGGATGAATCTCTAAGGAAACAATCATGAATTCGAGAGTAGAATGAAAGAAAACAATAATTACAACACAAAAATTATAAAACGGATTTTTCAATTAGTGCTATTACATCAGTACATAATTTCTCGCATTAATTTGTAACTCTTCGGAATATCATAATACAGGATTTTTCAAAATAAACCTAACAAATATCCAGGGCATGCAGAGGGGTCAAAAATGATCTCTTTTTGCCAGTGAACACGTATTGAGAAATTTCATACAACGCAGTTATACGGATATATATATATATATATAAGATATTTGCCCTCATTTTTGGCAACCCCCCTATGCACATTTGTTCTACAAATCACGTTCTACCGTGGTCAATACGATTTCATGAACTACTTAAGAGAATTGGCCTCTGCACGTTTTAGGGGAAGTAATTTACTTCATATATGAACAATATTTATCCATTTATTGGTACCTCACAATTCCAGATTTCTGGCGAAACATTTACGCCACACGTTTACAAAACTTTTTCTTTACTACGGAACTACGTACGAGTATATAGTGACAAGAATAAAAAATTTCAAAAACGGCTGATTTTTTCTCTTTAATTTTTCCTCGAATAGAGCTACGAACATTTTAAAATGGCATTAAAATGGTCTTATTTTATTGAACTCTCTGAATTTCCGAAGTAAAAAAGAATTGTGAATAATGCTTGGAAGTATGTGCAGTTGAAGTACTGGAAGTCTAGAACAGATTTCATTCAGGAAAGAATCTCTATCACCACTTTCGCGCTTGTTGTTACCCACTTTTGCACCATTGTTATGTTTTTGCGTTATCGTCCGTCAGGAGACCCCGATTTCCGTTTGCCCAGATACTCAATGGTCCGGCAGCTGCACTACAGAATCAAAGCACACGCTCTCCTTTCTTTGCCATAGCCTTAAGCTGGGACGGGTTTGCCAGAGGATGAAGGAGAACATAAAGAGTCTCATTAAATCACGAGAAAAAAGAGCAGTTAATTTTAATGACTAATTTAATAGAAGAAATCGGAAGATGAGAAATTTTTTAAAAAATTTCTGAACTTCTGATAAAAATCAACTTGTAGGGAAAGGCGATTACATAACACACAGACATCCCTGCTCTTTTATCTTACACCAATTAATTATTAATAATTCTCATCTGCGATGAAGCCGTGATGTATACATGTGATGCCTTCCGACATTGTAGTTTCCCTCGAAGCTTCCGACCGTGGTCCTTACGACAAGGGTGCCGCCACAGCTCGGCCAATGACACAAGATGGCGGCTCCGTGTTGCGCCTTTTTGTCCGGACAGCCGCGAAGCCTCTCGTCCGTAGGAGTTCAATGGATTTCACACTGAGCGCGCCTGGAATTGCGGTCGCCACAAATCAAGCCTTGCGGCCTGGTGGCTGACTTCGTACAACCTCGTCACAGTTACATTGCAATCTACCCGCCTAAACCTGGCCTGGATGTAGTGACGAATGACTGGCTATCACGAAAAATGCGAGTCGGTTATGGTCGGTGTATTACCAAGCGCGGACGATAGAACATATGGCGATTCACTAGCCAGCGTTATTCAAAGTGCTCGCGGCGCGAGGCGCCGAGATAGTGAGGTTGGCGCGAGAGCTTCAGAAAACGCGCGAGTACGGTGAAGCCAAAATCAAGTCATTTCGATCTACTCAGCGTAAGTTTCCTTCCAGCTTTCCTCGCTCACACGCCTCGCAGGGCTTTTCGCAACCGATTCGTAAATTTTGAATTGGCCAGTATGGCGGGGCACGAAAATCCAATCGTGCTACGAACAATTTAACAATTACACAGCAGTCGACTAAAAACTGGGTCGCGCGCAGTCTCTGTCATTATTGTTAAAAATTCACACATGAGCCACTCTGTAGACTCTGAATTCTTTATTCACTATCAGGCGGCTTTGAACATATTTAAAGAGATATAGGGCGAACTCGGAAATTACTAGACTTTAGTAAACACTAAATGGCGCTTGGAAGACTAATGGCTAGTTTTTACTATGTCCGTCTTACTGTCTTCAACGTTAGCATCTAAACCGTTCAGACGACTTTCTCCGAAACCGATATCCCTAATCGATTTGAATAAACTCGAGGCTCGAATTTTGATTTTTGGAGCACTTTATACATAGCCTCAACAACATTGTGAAATTTCCCACGAAAATGGCTGAAACATTTTTATCCGACATTGCCTTCGGATAGCGTAAACCGCTTTAAAATGCCGCGAGTTAATTTAAATCGCTGACTTTTTGAAAACGGCAAAAGTTCAAACTTTTATCGGCATCTTCCAACAACTACAAAATTGAACATAACGATGTTTCATTAATGTTTTCAGTTTTCAGAGAGAGAGACCATGTAATTATGTCATACCCAATTTGTCGAAAATGTGAGTAGCTTTTGCATAAATTTGCGTGAAATGTAGGCAATTTTTACACAATTATTTTATCAAAAATGTCTCTGAATTTTTTCTTTAAATTTTCTCCTCGTTTTTAACAAAGAACGGTTGAAACACAATGGTAATAATAATTATAAACAAAGTAAAGTATTTACCAAAAAATGCTTTTAGTGATAATTTTTAGTATTTAACTAAAAATATTAAGTTTAATATTGAATGAATACTTAATTGTTTTAAACTAGAAATAGTAATAATGTGTTATTAAAATCGTTTAATTGAAAGCTGCATAACAACGAAGGATTAGGATATTATATTTTCCATTCTACGATACAGATTACAACAGATAGAATTTAAATAAAAACGCATGATGTCGATTTACAAATTAAACATCACTTACATACAAATTTTATTGTACAGGACTGAAGAAAGCCGACAGGATTTCACAAAATGTTTCAAACCTCTTCTACTTTTTATTTTTATTAGATTTCTTTCCCTTTTCTTCTTATTTTTTATATATATTTTCTGCTTCTGCTTAAGTACTTAACCGCACCATCTCCAGGCGCATGTAAGCGATCCATGCCCTATTCTCTTGTTTCGGTCAACTTCAATTGGGCGAAATGTTACAGCAGGCCACGATCACTTGCTTGGCATCTAGAGAGACCCCTTACTACGTCAACACTGTTTCCGATTGTGTCGGCCACGCTCCAATACCTGCTTATCAAGCGAAGTAAACAAAGAGAAATGAAGTGTCACACGCCTGTGGAGAACAGCCGAAGACATTTTCCATACGCACCGTTGGGCTAAAATACAGCGAGAATCAGGATTCCCATTCCTAACTAAAAGCATAAGAACAGAACGCGTGGATATTTTTTCGATACACTTTAGACGTTTCTACAATTTTTCTTGTTTCTCATTTTTATTTTTCGTGCACTTTTTCCATTTTAATTTTTTCTCTAGACCTATAGGGTTGAAGCATGCCCCTCTCGATCCACCACTGCGATTACATCAGTAACATATTTAACAGCATGAGTTATGCATCTGAATTTGTTTTGATACAAGTTTTCAACACTTTTCTTTTCTTTTTGTGCATATTAAAAACATGTTAAGAGTATTTAATTGATCATTTTGGCGATGATTTAGGTCACCAAATCCGCCCCTTCGTTATTATATTTCCCCATCTTAGAGTTACTATATAAATGCCCGACTGTGAGTCGAGTGTGGTCGGTAAATTAAGTTTTTTATTCAAAACGGTTTGGTCGAATGTGTCATATTACAATTTATGTAGAATGACGCAGGCTAAACTCAGCTCAGCCTGCTATACAATTTTATTCGTTTAAATTATTATTCGAAAATATTTTTACGGAGTAGGTTACGGAGGAGGTTATGTAATGCTGCGCGAAAAAAACGGCGAATTTTCAGCAGAAAAACTCCTATTACAGGTCCCTGTCAACGAAAAAGTGGATAAATCCAGTTGCTAAATTTAGGGGGGGATCCTCTAACACGTGATGTAACCAGAATCCATGTTTGTAGGTCCTTAATACCGAAAAATCGAATGAAGCCAAGAAATATCGTTCCGACCGTCTATGAACAACACTAGCTGTGAAACCTGATTTCCTTCAAAATCGATATTCTCCAATTGATCTGAATGATGTCGCGACCCATGGAATTTGAAACCGATATTTTAAATTTGAGGGTACTTTATTTGAAACACCTGCAACATTTTTCAAATAATTTTATTGATTTTTTTGAAAATTATTTTAAAAAATGACTCCATCATTTTTGATTATTATTTGTTAGATACTGTTTAAGAGACGTTTAAGAGAATGGTGCACAACTCATATTCGTTGAAAAATGACTTTTTTAAAAATTGTAAAGTTCAAAATTTTCAAGGAGTCTTCTTATAACTAAAATATTAAAGATAGAGATTTTCCCCTTTATGAAATCTGTTTGTGACCGATAAATTTTAAAATAAGGTTCTAAATGTTTTTTCGAAAATTTGAGTACTTTTCGCGTAATTTTGCGTGAAAATACGGACGAGAAAGTACGTGCTGTTTTAGCACCACTAGTTACTTGAACGCTTCGTGAGAAGTGAAAATTAATAGTTACTGAAAAATTTCCCCCACCCCCGTGGAATCGAGCCAGAGAGTTAATGCAATTTATAAACATATATTTATACAATTTTCTAAAGAACGGCTCGAAATTTGTATTTTTTCTTACTCGGGTAGAGCAGAGTATATTTATAAAAATGGCACAGATCCCATATTTGTTGAACTCTCCGAATTTCCAGAAATTGCAAAAGTTGAAAGTAATGCCACCAAAAGGAAGTGCTCTAGCACCCCTGGGTTCCACTTTAACAGTGCCCGTCCCACTTTAACTGATCCCGCCGGCCTGCCCCCCACGCCGCCTGCGACGGTGAAAATAATCCAAGGAATCTTGATTAATTCATTCTCAATAATCACCCTTTGCATTTTAAAAATCTTTCTTATTAGTGATTCCGGAACCGTCAGCGTCTAAGGCCATTAGCCCCGAACGTATAGTGCATTTTTTTTTTTTTATCGCGGAAGGTGGAAGTGATCGTTCCCTTCTGAATGGCGAGATCCAGCAGCGTCTTACTTGTCGACTTGCAACGTTTTCCCCGATCAATATATATCATTAGGGGGAAACTGTATCTAAATTTCACAGCTCTAACTTCCCGACTGGCCTCCTGGCATGTGTGGTGAGTATGATTGCTTGTGAGTAAGGTGTGAGGATAGAACAAGCAAGAGGAAGGAAAGATGGCGCGCGGTCCGTGGCCCGTTTGTTAGGGCACTGCTCCGCCATTCGCCTGATGTTGCTAGGAGAAACCACGGAAAAGACCGATCAGAGCAGCCGGCCGACAGAATTCTCCTCCAGACATGTAGCTAGTGTCGAAAATCCTGCCACCGCCGGGCCACGAACTGTAAGACCTTCCGATCAGAGGCACTGCTATGACATCAATTGATGCCCCTGAGCCACCTAAGTTTTTTCTTTGAACTTTAAATTCCGTTTCTATTGTGCAGTTGTTTTTCTTACATCAAAAAATAATTTTTTTCCCTCTAAGCATTTGAAATATATTGTTTTCTATACAGCCTAATATCAATTAACATTTTAAACTCTATCTTAAAAATCAGATACAGATAATTTTATACGTTAAGAATATGAATTAAACATTGGGTTCATCATTTGAAAACAATGCAATGGCGTAGGAGTCATTAATATTAGATGAAAAAGTAGTTAATTCCGGAAGGGCGGGTTCACAGAACCACTGAACCATACGAGCTACTTCAAGATTCATGACTCATACGACAATAAATTATTTTAAGACACATTTAATATACTTAACTCTGTTATACAAAATTGCAGCGATTCGGTGAGTGACGTGGGAAGAAAATAAATAAAGATGCAGAGAAAGTTTAGATGAGAGCACTGTCGTGAAATTGCTGACATACATAATCATAATTGCATTTCCCTTTATTTTTTAAAATGCTATCTAACGTAATCGGTTATTTTTCTGTGAAATAATCAGGTCAACAAAGCACTAAGCCGGAAGAGTGGAGAAAATCAACCAGATGAACGGCATGAAGCAGCAATGGAGAACCGTCAATTGCGACAGATGTTAGCTGATACAAAAACAAATTTGGCCTTGCTTAGATCGGAAATGGCTCACCTCAAAACAGAATACGACTTCAAATGCCGACTCCTAAATGAGTAAGTATTGTTTTTAGTAATATGGTGCAATTCGCAGTGAACCCTGAAAACCGAAGATCGACGAACGATTACTACAGTAACGTAATTCAAGTCAGTGTAAGCCAATCAATGTCCAAATATTTACAAATAATATTTATTATTCTTATAACAAAGAAAGCATTTAATTAATTACTTATTAATATTTATATTAAATACACAATTAGATACATTTCTAAATAATATTCCTGTAATTGTTACGTTTTCCATGGATTCACCATTCTTGCTAGAAATATCAATACGAAGTGTCTTCAGAGATAATAAAACAGAAGAACATCTGCATTTATTTGACAAAATCGGATGGTTTCAAAGAGTTCCCTCGAACCATTGAAATTTGAAATAGGCACGTCGGGCATTAGTGTGGTTAGTGGACTTCAGGCCCAAAATAAATAATTTTGCACTTGATAATTTGCCAACCTACGCCCGTCCTCAGTCGGGAAACATTTCGTTCCAAAAACATTTTTATCCTTCTACTAAATAATTATTTTGTACAATTGTAATAAAATTTGTTTAGAGATAACATACTCCTTGATTTGACGAAGAAGGATTTGACGCAGAAACTCAAAGTGATAAATAATATTTAGTTTCCTTTGCGTCAAAAATATTCTTCATTACATCCGTTTAAAAAACAACTAATATTTTAGTCTACAACGATCTTAAGAACTCGGTTAGTTATTAACACCGTTCCATGGGTCTGAAAAAACTTATCGCATTTTAATTGTAATGAGGTAACTTGCTGTTAATCAATTTTATTTTAATATTAATGTAAAGAGTCCTTAAGAGTGAAGTATTCATAATTGTCTGAACCCCATTTAAAATGTCTCAAGTCCTAATTTATAAAATCTAGGATCCTTAAATACCATGGAAGCGAATAAACACCATCTGTTTTAAAACATTTATGTTCTAAAATGGAACTGCTAACGTTTATCTCAGAGGCAAACATGTGAATAAATGTGGTAAAAACATGTATAGTTCCAATTTTTTCTTACTTTTCGTGCAGGCAAGAAGAGACTGTCTCCGAATACCGGCAACAAAATGACTTAGTTCATAGACAACTCGATCTGTTGCAGTAAGTTTCCTTTCTTATTATACATGCATGCACATTTTAAGATTATCGCATCCAATAATCCGATTACCTTAGTAAGTACCATGAACAATTGAAGGGCTCAGAATTCAAATGCATGAAATCCATGATACTGATGTTACTGGAAATCGACTTCAGAGTTAATTATAAATAACTAATTAGCGTAACTATAATAATTAAACCTATTCAATTAGCTAACTGATTTTGTGACATAGCAGCTTGTCTCATTATAGTTGCTAGGTTACCTTTTTCATACATCTGTACTCGCAATGAATAAGTTGTCAAGTTAAATTTACCTACTTTTCAGGGAACGTCTTTAAACTCATCTCATTACGGATACCAATAATGACATCGCTTTTGTAGTGGTGAGAAGTTGCGAACGAATTGATTACATTTTGCCATATTCCATCGATTTAAAAAATATCCTATTATACCCAACATGTGTGCAAATATGCCCTACCATGCAAACATGTCTCATGCCATTAAAGTCGTTCTTTGAAGAATGGGAAAATTCGACTTAACCACTTTTTCACTATTCAGAAACATATTTTCGAAACCTATCGTGTCAGAACTTACAGAAAACGTGGGACTTGGCTGACTGTCCCTCTGAAACTTACATTAAAATCATGAAACATGTTATGAGATATTCATTATTTAAACAATAGTGAATTGCATTCCTTAATTGGCATATTATTATTATTATTATTATTATTATTATTATTATTATATTATCATATACAAGGTGATATAACTCGGCGTTGTTCGAGCTTATTTATCAATTTTGTTTTTAAATAGGGAAAGAAATGAATACTATGTATTGTATAAAATGGAAACAATATTATTTACATTCCCGTTCCGACATTCTCCGCGCAGCGCCCAGCCATTCCAAACCACTCAGCGCCGCCCTCACTCCTTGTTTATCCCAACCTGCCCCTCCATTTTTATCTCCCATTCCTCCCCGCCCCGTCACACCCGGCCCCGCCCGGCCCCGACTCGATCGCGTCTCTATTCGCATTTGATTGAATGATTAATTAGTGATTCCGGGCGCGTCAACAGCTAAGGTCATTAATCCCGTAAGTGCAGCGCACGTTTTCTTCGGGGGAGGCGGTGAACGTCATCTGCTAGACGGTAGATCCAATACCATCTATTGTCAGCCATTGGAATTGGAAGTGAATTAACATTCGGCGCCTGCTGTGCGCCCACATGCGGATGATCCATGGGCCAGAAGTAGGAAGAAGCTTGTTGTAATCATCTTCTACTCGTTGCAGCGCCGTGGGCTGGAAGAAATCCGGATGAAAGGGCAAATCGAACCGATACGTCTCTCTTCCTTTTCCAATCCCGAGGCGATGATCAGTCCGATAACTAAACATATCATTTTGATATACATTCAGAGATGAGCACATGCCGACAGAAAGTGCATTCTTCTTGCGCACCCTTCACAACATGTTTCGCGTGTTAACTGAGTCAGCTGTGTCAGCCGAATTTTCCGAAGGTTCATTCCTAGAATGAAGATTTAGATTTATTTAGTAATAATAATTCGAATTGTGTAACTCGAATAATTGTGAATAAGAAATTAGCAAGTGAAGTAAGAGATACACGACTATAGAGGGGAAGTGACGTACATTCAGACCATTACTTGTTGAAATCAGATATAGAAATCTTAGCAAGGTGAAAGAAGAAATATTCGAGTTCCTACCATCAGAAACAGAAAAAAGCAGAAGTCTTCAAGGTCCATCTCCTGTGATAAGAGAGCGTAAAATATTTACGTACGTATGACTGCTATTCCAAAAACTTTTTCAACAGCATATAAATTGAATTCTGACAAGAAGATAGAATCAATATCATTTCTTATGTAAATACACGAACCTTCGTAAGCATGGCCCTTATTTGACTCTCTCGCTCTACAATACGATCCTGCAAGGTCACTACTACGCATTTGGCAAACTAGGCATTTGGTGTGTGTTTAGATAATTATGAGGTAACCAATGTTCTATAAAGCAAAATACATCTATTTGACCTAGATCACACTGTAATTCTGTCTTGATCAATTCAATTGGTCTTAAATTGAATTGATTTTAACCGCGTAAAAAATAGTGAGATTGATTTTTTTTAAATATTTTGGGCAATGTAGAAACGTCACTTTAGAATAACAGAACTATGACACAGAAATGACGTCCGAGTCCGCCACTACCGGAGCGTTCATGCAGCACAAGCAAAGGAAGGAAGCTGGTGTTTTCTACGACTGGTAAGATAAAGTGTCCTGGTTAATTGCTTGGAAACAGAGACAAATTATGTGCTCTCCGAGAGTTTTGTTTTCAAATTCAAAGGTATGTTTGGTCGTGTACTGATGTCAATTACATTAAAAATTAGGTCGTGGAAATGAGAGGCACGAAAATAATGGGGACATTTTGACTGTTCGCAAAAATTAACACGTTTCAGTAAACGCGAATATCGCATTGATCTATTCAAAAAGGGCTAATAGAAGAGTTCTTCTACTAGTAGCGATACCGCAGATGTAACGAATTTTGTTTACATCTGCATTTATTTTACATAACTCATTTCTTCCTTTTACCTACTTCAGGAACCATATTAGAAATTATTGCATGCTATAGGCCTCCGAGCGACGGATACATTTTATATCACATCATTAGGAGAACGGGAAAGAGAATGGCCATTCTATTGTTATTGGAGGCGACTTAAATATTCCTAGCACAAACTGGGAGCTAGGGGAAAGTCCAAACATTTGGGAAGTCTAGTTTGGAACAGCAGATTACCTCAGGTAGTTCGGAGCGGGACGCGGCAGGATGCGATTTTGGATGCCTACTTAATTAGGCCGAAATAACTTTTCATAACTTGATAAGTTGTTGATGGCATTAGCGATCAGAAAGCGGTTCTTCTTGACAGGTGAAAATTTTTCAAATTACGATAGGAACAAATTTACGGCAATACAGGACAGCCAATGTAGACGGGCTTCAATATTTTATTAGGGAACAATACAGCCGCTTTCTGAGAACAGAGCTTTACAAAAATTTCTTCCGTGCAAAATTTAAAAAAAGTCATGATTCAGAATACTACAATGCATAAATTAGACGAATGAAGAGGATAACGAGAAAGGCATTTAAGAACAGAAAACGCAGTATTGAGCAAATGAATATTTTTCGAAATCGTTAAAAGAATTGGAGCGAGAAAAGAAAATTGCTCAGAAGGCATATTTAAAGAATATTCTAGATGGGAAGGGAAATAACTGGAGCGCATTTTATAAATATGTTCGTAGAAGAAAGAGAAATAAAGAGGATATCCCAGTTGTTCGTGAAAATGGAAAGTCACTCTTTACTGACGATCGGGCAAATGCTATGCGTTTAATAGGTATTTCAGTTCGGTTTTCAAAACCAATACGAACTATCCATTAATTCAAGAGTCTTCGGGTACAAATCAGTTTGATATTGAAGTAAACGTTCTACGGAATAAAGTAAAATCTATGAAAAATGGTTAGTCAAGGACTCCAGACGGCATTTCAACAGATATAAGTAAACTAGGAAAGGCAATATTACCGTACCTAATTAGAATATTTTTCGTGCCCATGAACAATTCAAAAGTACCTGAAAATTGGAAGTTAGCTTTTGTCGTACCAATTTTTAAAAGTGGTAACAGCCGTATAATGTAATAATAGGCCCGTAAGTCTTTCGTCAGTGGTCTGAAAACTTATAGAGCATCTAGTTGCGAGTTACATTAAACATGGCCACCACGGGTTCAAGAGTGGTTACTCATGCGAATGTCAGGTAGTCACGGTATTTCAGGATCTAGCAGATGAAATAGACGCGGAAGGGAGAGTAGACGCAACAGCTCTAGATTTTGCCAAAGCGTTCGGTGACGTTCCCCACAATTGTCTTGTACATAAATTAATGAATTTAGGCATCGATCTCAGAGTGATGGGGTGGATTAGTGAGTTTTTGCTCGACAGAAAACAGAAAGTCCGAATTGGGCGAGAGTTATTTTCCAGGGCAAGCGTTACTTCAGGAATACCGCAGAAGAGGGTCATTGAACCTGCTCTATTTCTAACGTTGGTCAATGATTTGACAGCCCACTGAATATCAGTTTGGGTATTTCCAGACGATTGCATAATATATCGTAGTGTGAATTCGAAAGATGAAGAAATGCAGCAACAAAATCTTGATTCGTTATATTATTGGGTGAAAAATAATGTAATGACCATAAATAGCTCTAAAAGCAAATTCATCACTTTTGGCAGGAGGCTCAATTACAGAGAAACAAATTACCGTTTAAACAACGACATTATTCCGAGAGTTTCCTCATGCAACTACATAGGAATCCATTTCGATAGTAAATTAAGCTGGAAAAGTCACGTAAATTTTATTGTAGGGAAAGCCTGGAGATCTCTTCACTTTGTAATGTGCATCTTAAAAAAAAAGAGTACAACAAACGCAAAGGAAATTCCTTATTTATCGCTTGTTTGTCCGATAATGGAAAATGGAACAATTTGTTGGGATCCGCACAAAATTATGCAGTGTAAAAATTTGGAAAGGATTCAGTGTTGGGCAGCTAAATTTACTTTCAGGGACAGAATCCCATTTACTTTCAGGGACAGGATCCCAAAATATTTCAGGGTGTTCATGTAAAATACTACTTCCTAAAATGAAAATATCTTAATTATCTCCTAGACACAACTAGATCACACTCCTCACATACATACCAAGTTTCAGCTCAAAAGCTTCTAAGCAGTTATGCGTGACACATCGGCGATCCAATCACACAGATATCCCGATTTCCGGGTTCAAAATAACGTGCATCTCACCGCCATCTGCACCAACCTTAGTCATCTTCGTAACAGCACCAATATATCTTAACCCTGACGTCTGTAGGAAGTTATAGCTGTTAACATACCTAGAAATGTTGTGAGTAGGGAGCGGATTTTAATGAAATGTCATTTTTTTTCTTTTCACTTTATAACAATGCCGTTTAGAATAGAAATTCATTTTATGTAATGACGAAAATAAATTATTTTTATGCGACTTTTTTTTCATTTTCGTCGATTTCGACTAATGAGTCAATTTTTACCTTTTTACGTAATTGTTATTGCATTTTCGCTGATTTCATCAATTGTAACATTATTTTTATGGTACTTGCTTCAAACAATGTTTACGAGGTGCACCAAATGTTCATCACAGAATTCCTGAGTAGCCTATTTGATTTCTTTGCTCATAATATGATACATATTACAATATATTATATTGTAATATCAGTAGTTGTGAGTACTACGTAATCTAAGGTTCCTGTGATGTCTGTAGGTGCCATTGTCAGTTCGGCCGATTTCACTATTAATAAAGGCAGAGATTTTCTTTTAAAGAACAGTCCAAACCAAAACATTCTTGGCTATTCGGGATGAGCCGCGTCTCGGTCAATTGTGCTGACGTTTCGGCCATCTTGCTGTGGCCTTCTTCAGAGCTATACTGTAGTACACGGTGAGTATAGCTCTAAAGAAGGCCACATTACTCCATTTTATCTGTAACTTTCCTTCTACTTACTTCTTACATATTATTCTTACTTTTCTATTTTCTTCTTACTTTTCTATTCTACTCTTACATTTTTTCATCATAAATCGTTCAACCCTAAACATATCTGAAGGCTTGTAACAAAATACTGCTCATTTACAATTGTATTAGAATACTAGTAAGTTCTGAGAAACAGAAACACTCGTTTCTTGTAAGATTTCACTTGTAAACTACTAGGCATTCACTTGTAACTATTCGTGATTACTAATATCATTGTGAAACGTTTTTGCCGCGGTTCTCACAAGTTAACAGTAAATTCACTTGTAACTTGTGAACTTGTAACTTCTGTGAAACGGGCCCCAGAGGTGTCCAGCTTGCAAGGCCTCAAGGGCCACAACTAAAACCTTTAATATGGTGAGGGCCATATTTTCATTTCTCAGAAGATCCACACCTAGCTTTTCGGTATTATTGATCTCTGCAGTTTGCCCGGTTGCTCTGAAACGGGGGGAGGGGGAGGGGGAGGTGGAACCATGTGTGCTATCAGGCCGTACCGTGGATGACGCAGAGAAACACATTGGGATGGTTTTTGAAATTCTGAATTCACTAGAAAAAAATTTTAAATCTAAATTTAACCTATTTTTGCATTAAAGGGGTATTGACTACGGCAGGGCGCGTGCGCTAGGCCAACAATGTTCTCGCCTATGATGGGAAATACATTGGTGAATTCCTCCGGCGCCGCGATTTTTGCTCCTGCGCATCAAGCAGTTTGCGTCACGAACCATGTGACTACAGCACGGGCACTTTGAAAAGCCAGACAAGACGCTGGCCGACATGTTGCATGGAGAGCGAGAAGTGTTGAAATACAATTTAAATGTGGTACAAAATGACAATTTAAACGGTAAGCAGCCTAAAAAAATATTTTAAAAAATGCTTCATAAATCTGTTTTAATGTCTTGAAACGAAGTGATAATTGTGGTATCTGGCTGCATTTAAAATTCTTCTAAAAATGACTACGGCATCTCTGACAATACCGGTAACAACTTTCATAAATGTTCTTTAAAATTCACTGTTTCAGGAACTTCTCTGTGATTTTTCAATTATTATTTCCGTATTAAAATGATACTGCCTGAGCTTCATATTATAAAATTCAAAATTTTTCGTTTACTTCATCAAAGTATACAGAATTGCTGAAGTGCATTGTGAAATATTTTTGCCATACGTAACTTGTTTTGCATAATGTAAAAACATTATAATATTGTACGATATGTAATGATGAATATAATAAAAATAGTGGTAACATAATAATGTTTTATGAATAAGTCAGTTTTTATGTAATTAAGTTACATTAAGAAAAAGAGACTTATATCATCTAACTCCACACTGAATGTTTGTACAATAAGATCACACTGTACTGCTCTTCACTTCATTTCACTATGACCCTTAAATCACTGCCTTCGAATTTCGCCCTTAAATCACTGCATTGCACGACACCTAACTCCACAATATAACACATGCATCGCTATGTAACATACTATTCTTTATTAAGTCCCTCGTTTACTTAATAATACCCTAAATTAATTTCCTAAACTGTTTCGAGGAAAGGGTTCAAAGTTGTTTGCAGGCAATCTAGTCCATTCTGTTATCGTTCGATTTGTGAAAGAAAATTTCCAGACATCCGTTCTTTGCGGTCTTAAATTTATTTTGTGTCTGTGATCCCCTGAGATATGTAGGAATACTTAGCTGTCGATTAATTTCTTTCCAAACTGGATGACCGCTGTAAGCTTTATAGAAAGCGCAGAGCTTTGCTGTTGGTAGTCATTCATGTACTACTGTACTCATGAACAGGAAGACCCACTTTTGTCCATTTGTCCACAGTGAAGCAAACAGCAGAATGCAAGACACAAATGACAGTTTGCTAAGTGTTCTTGAACTTCCGGAAACACGTTCACCACGACCAGCTTCACCCTGCTGTTGCAGTCAAGCCAGCTCCACAGGATCAGGTCCACGAACTTCTATCAGCCCTTCCATACGGTACAATACCTTTTGTCACAGTTGTTTTGAAAGCTACTCATGAAATATTTCCATATAATTCAAATTATTTATCATCAGATTGTGGCATACAGAAAATGAGCCTCCTTCAGATCTAAGCAACACATTTGACTCACCTCCAAACAGTCTGGACCATTGCACAACTCTCTCAAAAGAAGATTCACAATTTAGCATCAAGGAGTTTATTGAAGATCTTGGTAAAACTAATCAATCGCATACTTCAGTTTCATTTTATTGTATTTTAACATCGCAGTAAGACAACCTATTTTATTTGGCTATAAAAGTATTTTGATTATCTTGCATTTCAAAGCTAATATTCTTCTTTTATATTTTGTTCACAATCAGATTCTGGCAGATCTACAATGCGGGAAACACACGATGCCGATAGTGACAAATCTCTCCATGACGAACTTTTATTAGCAACAGGCAAACTTCCTGATGCACGAGTCAACATTCAAGCATCTGAGAAACCTGTACGAAAATAGAAAAGCTCTTCAAAACAATTAATTGATATCTGTTTAATATTGATGAACTTAACACATTTTGTGTTATTTCAGATTTCTTCATCAGCCCCCGTGACACATTATATACCAAAAATCTCAGTCACGGCCGCAGAACTGGAGCCAACTGGACCTCCAGACCGGACGTTTAAAATTGTGCTTGCAGGAGATGCAGCTGTGGGGAAAAGTTGTTTCATATTCAGATTTTGTAAAGGTGTTTTTCATAAAAACTTGGGCTCCACTCTAGGTAATAAAATTTTCAGTAAAATTACACAATTTGAATGAATTGAGAGTTATTGAATTCAGTTAGATGATTCATTAACGATTATCAATTGTTATAGATATTATTTTTTTATTTTTGTCCATGCATTTATAGCTATAGGTGTTAGGTGTCGGTTAAATATAATGACTCCTCCAGGTAGTTTTCAGCTTCCTACGGAGCAGGCTGTGAATAACTTTACATAACATTGCACAAAATATCACGATGACACGATGACTTGCATTTCTTAAACTTTTGAAACCCCTGGGACTTTGAACGACGCATTGCATTCACTTTGAAAATAAATGCCAGAAATCCTTTAATATTTAATGACGCAGGCTCAACCTGTATTATTACACCCCTCATCTGGCTAATCTCGATTTCCTAACTTAAGTATTTAAGATGTTTCTTTGCCTCTTTGATAAGACTTCTGATCCCAAAGCACATCTGCCACAGAACACGTTTTTTCTCCACATCCTGAATAACAATAACCAATTTGTTTACTTCTATTGTACGATCAGTAAGGATTTATTGGACCTACAGTTTTATACACAGTCCAACAGACGTTCCAGATTTTGAAATGAGTCCATACTACTTCAGCCATGTTCTCATAAAATGCTTTTAACAAAATTAAAATTTTAAATATTTTATAAATATTTTATGGTTTTAAATTACAAAATAGTAATAAATAGTTCGTTCGACGATATAGAAGTAAACAGATACAATTTACATTAAGAAACATAATATCGAATTACAAATTAAACATTCTCTTACATACAGACATTACTGTTCAGGACTGCAGAAAGTAGACAAGATTTCACAAAATATGACTCAAGTCCCTTCTACTTTTTCTTAATATTATATTTTACATTCCCGTATGCGTACTATATACGAAGTAATATTCGTAGAATAAGGAAAGTTATGTAATGCTGCGGAAAATCGATTTCGAGATTTCGACGGAAATACAAGTTTTGGGGTCTCCTGATACCGGAAAAGTGTTTTATTTCAAAAACGTTCGTCTGGTGTGTGTAAATCTTACTACTTGTGCCTAAACCTAGCCTACGATTTTTCAAATTGAAGAAACACGTGTCGTTCTGGTTCGAGTCGAATCTTTGTGATGTACTTTACATGAGGCCCGCCGACATTTTCGAAATTTTCTCAAAAATTGGTTCCAATTTTTTTCCTTATACTTTTGGTAGGAATAGTACTTTAAGTAGAAAATTCTTCTGTTTTTTAAAAAATGACACAAATGTATAAAAACTCTCTTGTCGTTAATATTTGTATTAGCGGCGATTTGTCCACATTTATGTATTTATGAGTACATGTGCTTTAAATAATGTGATATAATGTTTCTCGAAAACTCTACCGTTTTCTGTGAAAATTAGCTCAAAACTCCGCATTTTCAGAAACGCTGAAACACCATTTTCTCAAAAAAGACTACAAAATTGCTCTTCAAACATTTCGAATGTATACTGGTAATTACACTCTTTAATGTGACGTGAAGTTCATTTCGGTGTCTTTCTTTTTTTCAAAAATTACATAAATATAAAATTTTTTGCAAGATCTCTTACGCAGTTGATATGCACAATTCCAGCAATTTGTATACACAATTTGTATTTGTGAGTTAAAGTATCTAAAATAACTTCAAATGAAGTTTTTCAAAACTATAAGTTTTCTGTGAAGAAGTCCTTCAAATTTCGAATTTATAGTAGTGTTTAAACGACAGTTTTTTAAAAACAGCTCCAAATTGTTCATAGAAAAATGCCACTTTGGACGAGGTTTTACTGTTCTTAAATAATCTTAAAATAATATTTCCGCTCTCCAATTAGGAACAGATACAATCCACATACAATACATGTACATTATTTTACAACACCTTGCCAGATGTCATTAAACGATTAAATTCAATTGAAAAGTTTAAGTCCCAAGTAAAATTGTTTCCGCTGCCCAACTGTTTCTATACAATATTTCTATACCAAGCACCCAAAAGGAAAGTAATATTAATTTTAACGATGACATTTAATGTATTGTTACCATTTGTACAGTATAATACTAAATAACCTATAACAAGTACTGTACTTCAGCATCTGGGCAATGACCCTATCTCGATCAGGTTTTCATCCAGTTTCCCTGATCCATTGAGCAAATTCTGAGATGGTCCCTTGTTTTGCGTCTGGACGTAAATGTAGCTTCACTACGCGTACGTTTTGTTGAATTCTCCTTTTGCATGTAATGGTACGAGTAGAGGTAAGAGCGCGTTGCTATCTTGCTAGCAATGCAGAAAAATCATACTTGCAATTCCTTTACCGATGCAAATAAGTTTTCGATAACTCGGGAAAGAAAATGTCAATTTTTTTCAAATATTGCTTATCTGGCAATTTTTAAAATTTATTTTTATTTATTTATTTTACACATTTACTCATCTTTCAATTATTTATAGTTAAAATGATGGGAAGGGATTCTGGAACTCAAGAAAACGTGCGCAGATGATCTTCTCCCCCATACGTCACATACAGTTTTTACTGATTTTTTTGACCAAATAAATCTAAATCTAGTATACTTTTTTATACAAAATGTTTTAGTCGAATATGTCATATTACAGATTGTGTAGAATGTCGCAGGCTTAACTCAGCTCATATTGCGATACGATTTTATTAGTTTTAATGATTATCGAAATAAAATGTACGATGTAGAGAAAAGGTGCTGCGCGAAAAAACGCGTATTTCCGGCAGAAAAACCTTCTTACAGGGCCCTGGTAACGAAAAATTTGATAAATCCAATTGCTAAATTGAGAAAAAAGCCTCTAAAACGTGTTGTAGCCAGAATCTGTTTTGTGGGTCCTTGGTACCGAAAAATCGAATGACGGCAAAACGTCTGTCTGTCCGGTTGTGAACAACGCTAGCGATTAAACCGTTCAGCCGATTTTCTCCAAAAACTGGAATTCCCAAATCGATCGTGCTGATGTCACGACCCCTGGAATTTGAAACCGATATTTTAATTTTTAAAGGTACCTAACATGAATCCTCAGGAATTTTATTTTAAATTTTCAAAACAAAAAAAAAGCTTCATCGTTTTTGATTAAACAAAATTGTTAGATAGTGTCAAGAACGTTTAAGAGAACGGAAAAAGTCTGATGTTCGTTGAAAATCCTAATTTTTGGAAAATTGCAAAAGATTAAATATTTTTTCGGAACAACTAAAATAATGAAGAGAAAGTTTTCCCTTAATGAAATATGTTCCTTAAAGATAGATTTTGAAATAATATCATGTACAATTTTTTTGAAAATTTGAGTACTTTTCGCATAACTTTATACGAGCAAGAAAGTATGTACTGTTTTAACACCACTAGTTACTTAAATGTTTTTTGATAAGTTAAAATGAATAGTTTTTTTTTCTTGTGTCCCTCCTCCCACCCCCCTGGATTCGCGCCTGATTCAAGTTACAGACTCAACATCGCATTGTTTCAATGCAGCCCTGACCTTAAATTTAATTGTTCTGAAAATTATTGAACAAATAATAATAATATTAACGATATATTCTGAACCTTTTGTAGACAATAATTGTTAAATAAGTAAATTATATCTTTCATAATTAGTTACCTTTCTGTACAATTGTTCTTAAAATTATTGGACCGAAATAATATAATCAGAATCTTTTACGGACAATCATTGCTAAATAAGTTAATACTATCTTTCTTAATTAGTTACCTCTGTTCTATCTCATCTTAGATTGTCAGAACCCATGTTGGAAGAACCCAAAGATGCAATATGAGTGGGGACATAATGAAGGATAAGGAATACATTGCATATATAATTCTTCAGTACTCTTTCTAATAACATAATGTTGTGTTGGAGTATATTAAAAATACAAATGAAACAAAAATAAGCTCCACGTGCTTTTCACATTAGCCCCAAGAGGGGAGGGGCTAGAATAGACAAATGTATGTTTTAAAAAAGTGTATTTAAAATATATTTAGGAGTAAAGAATTAAAACCGCTTATATAAAAAAAAAGATAGAATACTAGGCTCTGCAGTAGGTACAGAATATACTTTAAATAAAAGGAAAAATTTAAATTATAGCAGTCTAAATGAAAAAAGTCCACTCCAGACTCCTCTCCCTTTTACAGATATATCAGTGGAGGTAACTTCAGATCCATTCCAGTAATTTCATGCATTCGGACTTTGATAGAATTGGCCAAACTAAGATCATCATCGACCGCAAGGATTAGACCTCTTGATCCGTTCCGTGTCGAAATTGTTCACGCCATCACTTCAAGAGACGTTCTACACTTATTTTTCCTTTAGGTGCGTATTGAAGAATAATTTTACTTATCCTATGTTCTGGCATTCGCAGGACATGACCTTTCCAGTTTTCTCGATATTTCTTTATAATATCTATAATAGGCTCAATATTTAATTCTTCTCTGAAATCTGCACTTTTTTGTGGTCTAATAGAGAATATCCTGCCACAAAACGGAGAAATCTCATTTCTGCAGATTCAATCCGACGCAGCTGATCTGACGTTAACGTTCAGCTCTCACTTCCATAAAGCAGTAATGGCAAGGCAACTTTCCAAAATCTGAGAAGAGTTTCTTTTTGCACACTATGCTTTAAAGTTTGTTGTACCGTTCCACTACCTGCCAAACTAAGATGATATGATCAATAGTTATTTTTTATTGTTTTTTAAAAAATTGTGTAGCGTTTACATAAACGCAACGCGTCTCAAGTCCTTTGGAGGACGTTGAGCGCTTCGCGCTTGGAGTAATCTTCCGTTAATTTAGTGCGTTTATTGTTAGGAGTAATCCTCCATTACTAATATGCCATGTCACGTCTCGTCGTAGTCGGTTGTCAAGATTATAGCCAGGTAGCATCTCCACGTACGCGCCTCCTGCAACGAGATCCTGCGTCACTCCCCAGCAGTTAGAATTGGGAAGGAATAAGGATAGGGTATGGTAGATTTAGGACAGTTCACAGTGGTTGGACTAGCCCCTGTAAAGCAGGCAAACTCGTATTGTCGTAACAAATTTTACTTGAGGTTCTACGGGGATTCTACGGAAATCGAACACGGAAAGCAAACGATTTTGCCACTGAGCCACGAGAGTTCCTAGATGGAGCTGCCAAATTCGGCATTTATCGTCTTGAGACGATTTTTTGAATCGCTTTACCATAATGCCATGCTCTCAATGCGTCATCTTGGGCAGCTAATAAAACTGCTTCCGATTCTGGTTTCATTCTTTCCCTTTTGCGATAATTGGTCTTTGTTGATCTGTATGCTTTACATTCCTTTTAGATGTTTTTCATGAAGTGGTTTGTTTCTCCGTGATTTATTGAATATTTCTTGCGACTCACATTTCATGACGAGTAGCGTAATAAGGTCTGTATGTTTCCCTACTTTTCTTCGCAATGTCAGTTCTACTCTTCTTTATTCCTCCACTCAATTTTAACCACCTTCACAGCTTTACATAAAAGGGTCATTTTGATGAGTAGTTACTAATTTGCCCATTCCGACCATTGTGTAATAAGGCATCACTTTTTACATGTCACTCCATTCCTTCTTTGCGTTATACAACGTTCTGATATTTCGGTCCATGGTTAAAATTTCTTGCTCAGTGCAGTTCACCAGTCCCAAGCTCTACTTGGATACTGTCATCGCCAAACCACCTATTGCTGAATTTTTTTTACTTATCGAGTTTAAAGCTGCCTGAAAACCCCTTAGCTTATACGCTATTGACCTATACTGAGCCTTTACGAATGCACGAAGTCAAAGTGATAGCGGAGAACGCTTATTTAGCAAGAGTTATATCGAACGCTAACCGATCACGTGACCACGCTATATGAAATTGGTTCCGAACTGTGGCGGCAGCGTAACTCTTTATTGTCATGATACATCACATTGGTTACATTAATCTGTACATAATTATTTGTAAGATAATAGTAATTATATTTATTTCATAATAAATAATATATTTAGGACAAAACGATGAAAAAAACCTTTTTACACCTTACAAGATATTTGTCACGTCTTACGCTGCGCTGTGCTGTGCTAAAACCCTCTACTGTTGTGCTTCAAGCTCCATTGCTGGTCGATGATTCTTGAAAGCGCTCCGCGACCTCTCGCTCTCACAGTGATGAAGCTGATCCCGCGAACGGTGGTTCAAAACCATGAATTGAGTCACCTATTTCCATATCCAGCAGTTTCTTGATTGATAATAAATATTTCTCTTCTATAAAGTGCAAAAGGCTGTGAGTGTGACGTAATTTTATGTAGTACCTACCCGCCACCCTCTCCTTCGTTCCATTTCGTTCCCCGTAAAGTTCCGTCCTAACTACATGTGTATATTTCTTTATTTTACCAGGTGTTGATTTTCAAGTGAAAACTATTAGGGTTGATAACAGAAATGTAACACTGCAACTCTGGGACACTGCAGGCAAGTGTGAATATGGAAATTAATATTTTAAATCTATACTAAACCTAAACTATACTAACCCTAACAAAATTGACAAAGAAAGTTTTGCAGGGCAAGAGAGATTCCGGTCAATGACGAAGGCTTATTTTCGAAGAGCAGATGGTGTTATGCTTCTGTATGATGTTACAAATGAAAAGTCATTTCTAAACGTGCGACAATGGATACAAGGAATTGAAGTAAGTATATATGTTGACTACATTGTGAAAACATATGGTTGACTAGAATAATAACCAAAAAGTTTCTTAGGAGGTGACGGAGCGAGCAGTACCCATCACATTGTGTGGTAACAAACTAGATCTCAGAAATGAAAGCAGAGCACAAGGCATATCTTGTGTAGACACTTCGCAAGGGCGGAAACTTGCCGAAGAAAACAAAGCAATTTTTATGGAGACTAGTTCAAAAACAGGTGACAATATACTGGAAGCCGTATTAGCATTGTCCTAGTAAGTATCCCCAGCTTAGCATAAAAGAAATAAGTTCCTCTTTTCCCTACTTAAGTTGTTTGTTTTTTTTCTTACAGTGAAATGTTAATGCAAGAAGATTCAGAAGTAAAGACGTCAGCTATGGAAATAAAAAGTGAACCAACTAAAACTTGTTGTGCAAGCAAAAAATAAATTATTTTTCACACAGTGGTATCCTTCTCATATTAACGAAAATTATAAGAATTCTTTTTTAGGTTACATATATTATTATCTTGCCTATAAACCACGTTTCGGATCCCTATTCGCCACACCTTCAGGTACTGTCCTACCGGTTTTTAATAATTTCAAATGTTTCTTTCTGAAAATATAAAATTTAGAATAACATTATAAAATTACAAAAATTAAATAGAATTAATGAAAGGAACAAAATAAGAAGTACGATGCAACAAAAACTCTAATGGTATGAAATATTTTAAAAATCTATAAGTATGAAGCACATGTCTTTCCTGAGGCAAATAAACGACACATTTAAAAAGCACATTTAGATAAATTTAAAAAAATTCGGGCATAATAAAATTAAAATAAATGGATGAAAGAGATTAATCAATCCATTTGAGACTCAACCGATCGAACTCAATCGAAAAAACAAATGATAAAAACCGTCAAGCGGGGGGGGGGGTGCGAAGGGAGTGGGAAGTAGTCTCACAGAGCAAGGAATAAACAGTTAAAGAAACTAAAGAAAATCCATTGAATTATTCTTTGGGAAGTAATTTAATTTGGGCCAAAACATTATCATAAGCATCAGAGAAAATATTGGATTCAACATTACTATTGACAGCCTGATGAATTTTAATATTTAAGGTTTCAGTAATCAAACGAAGGTATTTTCTCGGTTTTACTTCTAAGATGGAAGGATGGACAATATTAGTATGAGTGATGGAGCCTGTGGCGGGAAATAGAATTGAATTTTTCAGTGGAAGCTTTAATGTTATTTTCGTGTTCCTTCATCATCTGCTGAAGCTTTTGGTTCGGCCTATATACAGGCAGGGAACAGAGTAAACAACATTTTCTTTGTCTAAAAGAGGATTTGAATCTTTAACATTCTTGATAAGACTTTTTTTATTAATTGGGATTTTCCTAGTTTTAAAATCAATGCTTAGTGCATTATTTCGTAAATTTAAAATCTTTCGAATACATGGAATAGACATAGTTTTGGTTTCTTTCTTATTTCCTTTCGAAACATTAACCAATTGTTCATTAGTAATTCCCAATTTTCTTTGATTAATCACGGCTAATCCTTTTTTAGGAATTTATTAATGAAACCCAAGGCATAATTATTTTCACTTAGAATGTCTCTAATTATATTCAAATTCGGCACGTGATTACAAGGATCAGAAAGGCAAATAGCCTGATTAAACATGCCATAGACAATAGCAGTGTTCTGTTAAATGGGATTAAGAAAAATAATTTAAAGTTTTCCCAGAAGAACAACTTTTCCGAAACCAGTTAGTAGAAATTTTATTTCCTTTCAAAGTTAATGTAAGATCTAAGAAGTTAATAGAATTGTCAATAGGCCTCTCCATCGTAAACTGTTTGGCGGAATCATACAAGTTATAATCAGATAGGAGTTGTGCAATTTCATCCTTAAGTGCAATAACTAAGATGTCATCTACATATTTGTTTTTGAAAAAGAAAGGATTTCTTTTTGATGAAATAGATTCTTTCAACTTTCTCATAACAATGTCAGAGAATAATTAACCACCAACGGGTGTACCCGTCAGTTGTTTGTAAATGACTTTGTCGAAGGTAAACTCAATGTTATTCAATACGCATTTAATAACCACAAAAATTTCAAGTGGAAACGAAAAATTGGATAATTTAGAATAACTCTCTTCCAAGGCTTCCAATATAAGTGAATGGGGTATACTAGGATACATCGCTACAACGTCAAAAGAAACTATCTCATGATCTAGGGGTATTACTAGGGATTTCAAAATGTTCATTAATTCAAAGCTGTTTTTATTACGTAGCTCTCATTAATTTTCAATTGTGGTTGTAATAAATGGTTTAAGAATTTACACAATTGGTATTGGGGGATACCAATCGATGACACATCAGGTCTAATAGGAAAACCTTTGTGAATATTAATTAACCCATAAGCTCGAGATATCTTGTCAGAAGTCGGATAAATCTCATTGTAATTGCTATAATTAATTAACTTAGCATTCCTCCATGTTTTTATTATTCCTTGTATGGTCCTAATAAAACTTGGTGGCTTACTCTTGTTTAACGGAAGTACTTATTAAGATCCAAAAATACCGACTTAACCTTAAGAATGTAATCAAATTTGTCAGTGACCACGATTCCCCCTCCTTTTCAACAAAAAGGATTTGTGGATTTTCTCTAATGAAATGTTTTCTTATATTTAAATGAGATAAAATAATTTTTCCCTTTTGAGTACGACACACACGGCGGCATAAAAAGAAATTCAGAGAGTCTACTAATGAACGACGCATTTCGGATTTTTTTTCCTCCAAACCAAAAGACTAAGCTTCTACTTCTTTAATAGCACTCAAGATGCTGTTGTACTGAAGATGCGGCCAATTGGGTCGCGAAACGTAGTGGTTTATAGGCAAGATAATAAACATATGTGACCTATAAAAAATTTTGATTTTTGTTAATATGAGAAGGATACTATTATATGAAAACTATTAAATTGGAAGATAATCATTTTTGGTCTCCTCTGTTTAATACAAAATAAATTAGTTCAGCACAACATGAAAAGGATTTTTACAGGAGCACTGTATTCAAAGCTACTGCAATAAAGACAACTAGAAGTAAGGTTTCATAAAATTTGATTATGAAGATATTCTTCAATTATTTTCTAACATTCCCAAGGGTTGTCCATAAATCACGTAACGCTAAAGAGGGGAGAAGGGTTTGACGCGCACTGCGTTACATAGTGATGGGGAGGGAGGCAACATGTTTTTATCAATGGTTTATTGACTGAATGCATTATAACAAGAGATTACAAAGAAAATATTCAAAACTGATCTACAAGTATTATACATTCTAAAATCCAATTAAAATAGCGCAGTAGATACGGGACACATGCGTCATCCACGTCGGCGTGTGCACGGCTTGCCGCGCAAGCGTACGCTACGGGGAGAGATGTATTCAAAACACTCCAAATTTGCGTTATGTACTTTGTAGGCGGCCCTGAAGTACATAGACCAATTTTACTTGTCTTGGAAGGATGAAAAATAATTATTTCTTTTAGTTCCAGCCTGTGAAAACTCTTACAATGTTTAGAAAGTCCTCGTTTTAAGAGACTTCCACTTATGAGAAATACTGAAACGAGTAGAGCCCGAAAAAATATGTACAGTATAAAACGGTAAAATACGTGGATAAGTATGTAATTGAACAGATAAGAATATTTAACTACAGGTGCTACATCACATATTTTCTCGTATTATTCCAAACATTTTCAATTCAAGGCAGTAGTGGCGTAGCGATTTCGGGCCGAAAGATCGCAGGTTCGAGACCCGCTTCGGGCATGATTGTATTGTGTTCGTCCTTTCACTCCCTATCCTCATCATATCGTGTCATCCCAATATTTACCATACCGTTACACGCAATAGTGGTCGCTAATGACCTAGAAGTTGATGCGACCTTAAAAAACGTGAAAACCTTTATACAAAGATAAAATTCAAATAAAAAAAATTGGAGCAGTTTGAGAAAATGGCTATTTAAATATTGCCTAAATTCCGTGCACAATTATGTGTAAACTACTCAATTTTTCGGAAAATTGTACACGACCTTGTTTCACAATATTTTTTAAGGAATAGATTTCATTACGAAAAAAATCTTTATCTTTCAAATTTTAGTTGACAGAAGACTCCAAAAAAAATTTTAACTTTTCCAATTTTCAATAAATCAGGGTTTTTAACGAACATGATCCCTCCACCATTCTCTTCAACGTCCTTCACACTCTCCAACAACAAAATTTAATCAAAAACAATGGAGCTTATTTTTGTTGAAAATTTGAAAAAGGAGTATCATGTAAAGTACCATCCAAAAATTAAAATATGGATTTAAAATTCAAGGGGGTGCAGCATCATCCTGATCGATTGGAAAATATCAATTTTTGCAAATAGGCTGAATGGTTTAGCCGCTAGCGTTGTTCACGGACGAACGGACAGACAGATAAAGAGGTTTTTCGGTATAAAGGACCCACAAAACATGGACTCTGGCTACACCACTTGTTAAAGGATTTTCTTTTCTAAATTTAGCAACTGGATTTGTCCACTGATTCGTTACCAGGGCCCCGTAATAAGAGTTTTTCTGCCGAAAATTCGCCGTATTTTCACGCAGCATTACATAACTTTCTTTCTAATCGGTAGCGAGAAAGTAAAACTCGCTTTCAACTTTTTAGTTCTAGAAAACGCAAAAATTTGAACTTTTGCAATTTTCGAAAAATACGTGATTTCAAAGATCATGAGACCCACGTTATTTTTTAAAAATATCTGTTTCAAATTTGCAGGACCTTGAGGTTGTTCAAATCGATCGAAGAATATCGCTATTGGAGAAAATCGTCTGAACATTTAGGGGCTAGCTTGGACCCAGACAGACACAGGCGGACTGGCAATTGGCCGTCAACTGATTTTTAGCTAACAACTAGTGGGGGCTGGTACCCTAACAAACTGGGGGTTGGAGTTAAGTTGAATAACTAGAATGCTATTTCCACATTTCAGAACACAGTGATGTCTCTATGGTAACGTTCAAGCTCATGATTGGATGACATCGTAACAGCTGATTAAACGCAAAGTGCCACTATATGTCAATCGAAGTATGCGTGTCCGGAGTGGGTGAAATGACTCTTTCGTACAATCCTGTAATAAAGTAGCTGAGTCATTCCATGCAAAAAAGTAGATTTTATGACATGACTCCTTCACACTTGAAAATATTTTAGAATATTGTTATCTATGCCTACATCGTCGAGGTACAATATTAGAATTTTATATTGTTCGGCAATAACGCACTCTTAAAATCTCAGACTGCTTGTGAAAACCCCTGTGGTCTTTAATTTTTTGTCCTCTTATAAATGTTTCTATGAATATTAAAATTTGTGAGTATACACGAGATGCGTAGTAAAATTATTCATTACATATCAAAAGCAGTCTTAGATTTAAGAGGGTATTGTTACCGAACAATCAGTTAGAAAATATTAATATTGTACCTCGACGACGTAGGCATCATGAATAACAATATACCAAAATATTTTC